CACTATCTAACTCCATTAAGTTCCTATTCGTTGATTCTTAATACATGATGTGATAAGATTGCATTTGAATGTTTTGCAGGATCGGTGAAAAGAAAAGAAGCTTGATGAAAGAGCAAGATGAGTCTAATCACAAAGAAATGGATCTCGATCGCATGGACTTGAAGATTAGATTTTGAGCTTATATATTTATGATAGAATTGGTAGGAATATTCGACTACATAGTTTTTCAATGGATTTTGCATTGTAAGGACAAATGTTTTCCACTGCTTTTATAAATAAAATAGTTTTTGTTTGACTTATTTATTTATTTGTTTATTTCCTTGCAATGAAATTGTTATGAAAATTGATGTTTACATATTTCTACAACGAATGGATATGATTCTTATTTATGGAATGTCGAGAATTTACCAAATAGGGAGAGTTTCTCATCGCCCAAATTTCAATTGGACAGAAATTTGGAATCACACAACTTGGTTGCATGATGAATGAGAAATTTCATATTTGGAAATTAGAGTAATTCGTTGACAAAGTGTCAAGTGAAGGACTAGGAGATCGAGCACACAAAGTTGTGTGTTGATCAAGTCCACCATAAGAGTAACAAAGATATTCGTCATGATTTACTAAAGGTTTAGTAAATATGATTATACTTATAAGATCAAGTGTAATTCGGAATTGATTAAAAAGGTTTAAATCAATAGAAAAATGAATAAGAAGAATCAAGTAGGCAGAAAGATAAAAGTTTCTCCATTCTAAGAAGAAGGGAGAGTAGCATTTATGCTTTATGATAGGTCTTAATGATTAAGAAGCATATCTTAATTGATCCTCTAAGTGAGTCTTAGCACAATTGTATGTCTAAGAAGAGGAATCAAGAATTGAAGAAATGGTTAAATCAAAAGGTCAATCGTACTTCGTTCCAATAACAAGTCTTATAGTTAAGATTGTGACGTCGAGTGAAAAAGTATTAATAAGGTTTATTACATTCATCAAATGTGGAAAGTTGTGATGTCTTGGATAAGACAAAGACCAACTAGGACAAATTTATGAAGTGTTTTGATATAAGCTACACTAACTCTTGAATAATTGTTTGTCAAGAAATGGTTATTGACAAGAGAATCTTATATTTTAAGAAGTCAGTGGGAGTCTTAATGGTCTTGAAAGGTTTCAAGAGAAAATTAAATAAAACTTATCGATCATCACTAGCACACGAGTTGAGGTTAACAACCTATCGTGTTGACATTATTTTGTTTCTGTGCTGTTCCAATTGCGTTAATTATGCTTGTGAGTCCTATGTGTTCTCATTTGAATGCATAAAAGGAAAGGCCCTTGATCAATGGAAAGTACATTGATAGGAAAAGGTGAGTAGCTTAACTACTTGGAAGACATGGTGGGGAACCGTGCTACCATAAGGCAAGAAATCAAGATTAAGAAAATTCAGTCCATATGAGTTTGAATTGGTCGTAAACCTTGGTTTTAACAAATTCACATGGATAGGAACACATAAACCGTTTAAATCTAAGTGTCATAAGATTTCCTCCTTCATGAAAATGATTGTGAGAAAATGCTTTCACAAAGAAAGATTTTAAGAAGATAGTGATTGTAAAATTGCATTCTCGAATTCGATTATGGTTATGGTATCCCTTTCCATGATTTGAATTGTGAGGTTTGGAAATTAGTCTTAATTGTTTAGACACACATGTGAACTATCTAAGGAAAAGGTGTATAAGTTCAAGAAGCATTGACAAAAGATTATCAAAGCACTAAGTATTAGAAACATGAACTTAAGAAATTCAATAAGTATTGTTTTTCTGAAAGTTAAGCTGTTTCAGAATACATGTCAAAGCTAGTGGGAGCATAAGTGTTATGTTTTATAATAATCATCATGATAGTGGGAGCATAAATGTTATGATTGTATGATTATTAAGGCACGTATTGCAAGTTGGCAATATTAATTATAGAAAACAAGAGTTATATCTTGCAAAGTCGTAAGGGTTGTAAAGTTGTTTTGCTATAATTAAGGGAGAGAATATTATGCTTCATTTCAAATCTAAAGGCTTAGGTTGAGAAATGTTAATAAATTTAGTCAAAGGTACATAGTGTGTTCTTAAAATTTCGATTATGATTACGACATTCCTCTTCACAATTCGAATTTTGAGAATATAGAAAATAAAACATTATGCATCGTGTCCCATACGCTTCGGGTATAGTGTCGATTGCACATGCTTTAATATTTGACCATTCTAAAATTTTCCAAATGTCTAGCGCATTTAGAAGGGAAAGGGACTAGAATCGGTTTTGACTAAAATAATTAAACAACTATCAAAGGACAATCCAAAGTTCGATGAGGATTGGTTGCTTGTGAGTAGTTGGAAGCATGGAATTGGATGGACCATATTGACATTATTATAAATAGATAAGATTCTATTAAGAATAAGTTGTCATATGGAAAATATGGAAACGTGTCCATATTGGGAATTGAATATTGAAAATCTATGTCTAGATTAGAAACATTTTTGCAAAAGGATGTTCAAAGGAATGTACTTTGAGTGAGAGACATCATATCTAAGGAATTGTCTTGTAACAATCTCCGATAGAGGACTTTGTAATATCATTGGCAATAGTGTTTGTGACTTTGGTGCAGTGACATTATGAAAGAATCATTGCATAAAATGTTAGAATCTAGCATATTGTATAAGTAGCAAGAATTTGATATTCTTTCACTTATGGAAAAGGATTTGGAGTTGTGAAATGAGAATGATTGGAAATGTGTTCAATTTGATCTATTTCACAAAGAAAGAACCATAGGTAAACATTGTGTGCATGATAGGAGCATGGGACAAGTGTAATAATTCAAGTAAGAAGTCGATTACCCGAAACGACAAATAATGAGTAATCAATATGGTGATAAATAAAAGGTGTTTTATTTATGCTCAAAGGTTTGAGGCCATATGGGATTAGTACTATTCTTGTGTTTCACTTTGCATGTTTTGACTTCCTGAATAATTTAGTTGGTTAAGAACAGTCAAATTATACGAACGGGCCACAGTCGTTAATATGTTGGAAGTAGATATGAATGAAGACTATCGTGAATTGGTGTGTGGATTGTCTAAAAGAGTATTAGACATAAATGTTTGCTGCAACGTTCATGAGTGCTTATGAATATGAATTTGAGCATTGGATTAAACCCACGCTCACTTGGATCACTCCATGAATTGTATCACGAGTGATTGGTGAGACGATAACATCTTATATTCTTGAAACCGAGATGTGTGAGTTGTATCTTGCAAATCGGTTTGCACATTGATAATATGTAAACGCACTAGTAACTTGGTGTTATAAAACATATTATTGTGTGTGATTCGGTGAGTGAGTGCAAGCAAGCATTGTATCAAAGTTTATCCGTTCCTTTTATCCAAAGTAGGATAAAAGTGATATCTTTGGGCCCATCGATGATTTAGTGATGACAAACGTAAATGCTCGGCCGAGCTAGGGCTAATTTGATTTGTTCAATTCATCAGTCGTCATAAATCGGAAATCGAGAAATAGTACAAAGAGAATGATTAGAAATCATATCTCATACGATATCTAGAATGGAGGAATGTATGATCCCTTATCTAAGGACACGCATAACTGATATGATCAGAGTTGGCAGCGGCTGTGGAAAGCTACGATTGCTGATGGGGATCTGAAGTCATACGCAAAATAGTTATTAGACTTATCCAAGTGGGAGACTGTTGGATTAGTGTCTAAGTCGATAACTATTTTGGTATGTACTTGACCCGATGGTGCATGGTCCTTTTGGGTTGCCTTCACCAAAGCAACTTGATAGGATGAATTATGGAGAGAAAGGATTAAATATGATTTATTAATATATTATGGGAATAATATATTAAAGGAGAAATCATATTGTTTAATTAATATTAGTCAATAATTAATTGGTAATTAGTTTTGTGACTAAAAGAGATTAATTAAACTTAAGGGACTGGAATTGTAATTATAAGATAATTGCAATTTGGGCCATGGATTGTCTTGTATTGAGGAGTGGACGAATTCTATGGGGAAACCCATGGGGAAATTGTCCAAGGCCTTAAGGAAAGGAGTCCATGGGTTGGTTAGGGCTTAAGCATTCAAATTAGGGTTTCCTTGTTAGATAACCCTAATAGTCTCATTATATATAGACCCCTTAAGGACCAATAAACGTGACTAAGCTTTGTTCTAGGGTTTCACACGTTTTTGGGTAGCCTCCATCCTCTCTCCTCTTCATCCTCTTGCTTATGGTGTTTGTGAACCATTCAAGGAGTGACATTTGTGACTCTAAGCTTTGTAAAGTCAATACAAAGAGGAATTGGATTGTTATTGCTACATAACAATCAAGGTGATGTCTTAAACCTATTCTCATGTTAATATGATTACTTGAATGCTAGAATTAGGGTTTATAGTCTTGGGTAACTTGCATGTACAATAGAGAAATCTAGATCAAAGCATTAGGGTTTGTATGAGCATATAGGATGTTCTGATGACCATAACCCATCATATGTATGTATGGCTTATGTGGTATATGTAGCTTTATAGCTAATATGATATGTGTTACATGCATTGTGTGTGGGGTATGCTCTGGGGCACTCACTAAGCATTAGCTTATAGGCTGTGGATTTGTTTCAGGTAGATCGGATCCCACGGGCAAGGGCAAGGCTTGATGGCGCAGCGTGCACTCTCTCACATGCCTTTTATGGGATACTATGATATTTTTAATAAAAGTTGTAATCGATCTGAGTTTGAAACAAATTTATATATGGGATTTTGTAATTATGGAAATGTGTTTGGGTAATCAAAAATGAAAATTTTCCCTTGAAAATTCGGGTCGTTACAAAATCTATATCGGGGGGCTTATTACCATCATAGGTCGAGCCATCGGCCTAGACTTCCCCGCTCCCGATTACTTGCCCGTTTACCACTACCAGCCCAATTTTCTACTAGATTGTTTCTGTCCTGAGTGAGCAGAGATGTTGGCTAGTTGGGGCAATGATTCTTACATTTTGCTTGATGGTGACAAGTGTGTGGTTTACATCCTTCCCAACTGGGTAGGTGATTCATTTGATCCGAATGACCCCGACACTTGGTTTCCTCCGGATCAGTTGACTCTAGTAGGTGTGCTATCCAACTCTGAGGATGAGGAAAACGATGAAGAAGATTATGAAAAGATTCCCGAGGCGGAGGACCATTTTAACCAGCTTCCGGTGCAACAACCGATGTATCAACATCACCATTTCCAGGTCCCTCCACACCATTTTGACCATCCTCAGTATCAGCCATAGCAGCAGGGGGGACACAAAATCCCATCATATTTCCCCCTACATTTTTTGACCAGTTCTCCACAATCTTCTTCACCATTCAGCGCATCGACACTCAAATGCAAGCGAACACCCAAGCCACTCAGGATGTGGCGACTCGCGTTAGTCGACTGGAGCAGTCCTTCCGTTTAGGACATGTGGGGCTACCACTATCGCTACAGACATTTCCCGCCTCCCGATCCTCCAATTTAGGTCATTTCTTCCTTTACCTTAAGCATTGAGGACAATGCTTGTTCTTAAGCTTGGGATGGGGGATTTCTTTTTAGTGTTGCATGCACCTTTTTTAGTTAGGTTGCATTTCATATTAGTTTTTAAGCTAGTTTGCATTCATTTTTTATTATTCTATGAAATTTCAAGAAGATTTTACTTTCTTCTTTCTATTATTTATTTTTGCATAACATTTAGCTTAGGGCATTAACATTCATGCATTTCTGCTGTTTGTTTGTTCTCACCCCCTTGGATGCCATGGAACAGGTTCATAGTTATGGTATCATTATTGGTCCATGATCTTCACCCAACGAACTGGGACCATTAACCTGCAGTTTGGGACTTCATACTTGGGATCAACTGCTAGAGCTTAAAAGGGTAAGCGATCATGGCCAGGTAGTTTCAGGAAGAATTATTCATGAAATACTAACAACAATAGGATATACTATAGCAATGGATGTTTTTATCCATGCGGTCCAAGCTACCGAGAGGATCACACTTGGTCATGTTTGAAATAGTAACATGAAGCACTGGTGATGTTGAATATTGTCGAGTCGGATACTACGGGAGGTTTGGGCCAACGCTAAGTGAATTGATTCCCTCAACGGTGCCATAGCGATGAAACCTAATCACACATGAGAGTAGCCGACAGACGTGATATCATTCAACTTTCATGATAAGATTGTACACTTTTAGAAGAGCTCCATGAGAGCCCGTCCATCTGCTTTCTCCATATTATAGATGTTCTTCATTGTCTGCATGTTCCATTGGGGTTGCGACTGACCATCCCTCCTTACTCACCTAGAGGAGTTGTCTTGGATGCGGTTTATGGTTCCATTGTCATCAGATGAAAAAGACATGAGATAACAATGATATCACTTCTCACCATGTTGACTAACGGTAATCAGGGTCTATGGTTCTATCCATTATTTTTATTTTCTTTAGGATAGTTCATCCCAAGTTCATTTTAGTCTTGTCTTACTTGAGGACAAGTAAGGTTTAAGCTTGCAGTGATTTGATAGTTTCATTTTACTTACTTCTTTTTATAGTTTATTTTAGCATATTTCATTCATAATTTAGTCAATTTCCATGCAAATTTTCCTTTTTGTTATTTTATGACTATTTCGAGTAGTTTCTAGTTTCGTGGGCATAATTGCAGATTTTAAGGAGACTAGCAGAGCGGAATCTTTTGGAAGCAATTGGACTTGGGGGAAAACAAGAAATTCAGGCTTGGTGATAATGGAGTTGATGCTTGGAGTGGGCTTGCATATTAATTTAAGGCTTGGAAGAAACAAACTTTAAAATTGCAAGATACGAGAGAATATCCGAGCGTGCAGAGATTGATGATTGGGCAAACACTGAAGCTATGAATCATTTGGAGAAGCCAAATGGGGATTAAAATGAAGTGAACTTAAAGAAAAATGGGCTAGAACCTGTTTGAACTCAATCTGGACCAAGTGGGCTAAGCTGTGGAGGTCCAATACTTAAAGAGTCCACTATCTGATACCACCCACACAACCTACCCCGTACAAGGTTGCGCGGCCGCGCACAACACAGCAGGGACAGTTTTGGAATTTCAGTTAGAAGGGTATATGGGGTAGTTTGGTGTGCATCTTTTTCACACTCTTGCACATCCAAAATATGAAGGATTCTCTAGAGATTTTGGAGCACTTTGAAGACTAAGAGCCTAGAATAACGTCATCTTTTCACCCCTTAATCTTGTTGAATGTTTGGTATAATCTTTTCTAAATTTGTTTCTTTGAGTTTACCCATGCTTGGCTAAACAAGACTTGGTTGACTTTGGTGAAATCCTTTAACTCTTGTTGAATGTTGAAGACTCTATGAACTTGTTCTTGAATATTTATGAGAATTTTTTGTGTTTTAACATCTTATCACTACTTTTATGTTCTTATTCATGAGTTTAAATGTGTTTGTTGTGATTAGTTGGCTAATTTCGTGATTAAGTAAAGGATCCTCAAGTTAGCAAGAAACAAAGGATTTTTGTGTTAGTTTTGCTTCACACAATCATAAAAAGATTTCTCCAACATGGAAGTTAAAGCATTTGACTCCTCTTGGATTTGGTGAGTTTTTGGTTCTTAATTCTAGTTGATTTTCACTAATTACATGCTTAATGGAAATTATGACTTTGACTAAGGAAATTGTTATGAGCTTCTCTAACTATTTTAATAACTAAGAAAAGTCAAGGTAATCTCATGTTTCTTGGGTTACTCTAACCAAATTAAGGATTTAAAAAAAGTATTCCACCATTGGATTCTAATGATATGTTCTTCAAAGATCAAAGTGAGGAAACTTTAAATCAACCATTCCTATCTCATTGATTTTATATCAAAATCTTGTTTTTGTTGAAATTTTAGTTTAATTCTATTTTTAATTTAAGTATTTCAATGAGACCAAGACCCCCATTTTTAATTTATTGTCATTTTACAAGTATTTTTACAAAGAGATTATTCATATAGTTATAAAGTTGAACCAACCTTCGTGGATATGATCCCTTTACCACTATACACTATTTTAGTGTGTAATATTAAGGGTATTTATTTTGTTAGCCTCAAAAACCACGAGTAAGTCATTCCCCCTTAAACCCTTCATAACTAATCAATCCTAAATCCCTTACTGTCATTGCCTCAGTCAAGAAAATCATCATCGTCCTCACGAGACTAGCCTCCGTTTCTCCTTGTCACACCCTTTTTGAGCTGCCTCCCTTCACCATCGACTTCGGTGACGACAACCCCTCCATCATCGACGCCTCTTCCATCGTTGCTGGTATTTCTGACTACTTTGTCAAAGTAGCCAATTTTTCTGATTCCAGGTGATATTTTATTCCTTTTCCCTAAATCTGGATAATAAGATCTCTAGTTAATCGGATAATTGTTTTGTGTGAGGATCTAAGATGAAGTGATTGATCTCTTGGGAGTTAATCTGTGAGTTGTTATAAAATTTGTAAGAAGTTCTATATATTGGGTGCGATGACTTATGGCTTTCCTGGAAATCCATGAAATTCGACATGCTACTATGAGGCTTCCTACTCATTACATATTCATTACATATTATACAATAATCAAATAATATATTATGGTTGCATCAACGTATTACATCAGTGTAACACTGTAAAATTTTCAAATAAAATTTTCATTTTTAAAAACCACACAAAACACAATTTCAGATTTCTCAAACCTAAGTTATTAGGTTGTTCAAAACACAAGACAATAAAATGTTTGACAATATCCCTGAATCCTCAAAACAAAATCTCTAGCTAGTGTGTATAATCAATGCGGAGCCTTCCTATGATCCTAAGAGGTACCTGAAACACATTTCACACAACACATTAAGCATGAAGCTTAGTGAGTTCCCCAAAATACCACACACAAATAATTAGCCTCTCATGGTTATACTCGATAAGGACCCTTCGGTCATGTTTCTTAGTGAAAACCCTCCGGTCTCACAACTCAGGTTGGACCCTCCAGTCCAGTATCTTAGTGAGGATCCTCCGGTCTCACAACTCAGTTTGGACCCTCCGATCTTAACTCAATAAGGCATAGAATAATATACAACATAAATCACAAAGACAAATTGCACGATAGCACATAAAATCAGTATAGGCACATAAGACCCTCTGGTCAGTAACTCAAATAAGACCCTCTGGTCATACAATATTACCACTAAGGTAAATATAGTGACAAGACTCACCTCCTAAGTAAAACAAGTAGGTCTCGTACTCAACGATCAGTCTAAAATCTGCCTACAAGTATCATAATCATCTCTAACAATTTATAACAACAACACCAAGAATGTTCACTACTCCTTTACTAACTCTCGGAAAGGGTGAAGGACCATTTTACCCAACCATGGTCTCCTAAGTCCACAACTTGACCAAACCCTAATAGTCAACAGTCAAGTCAATAGTCCATGTTGACCCAACTCGTCGAATGCATCTATTTGACTCGTCGAGTTCCTTTGTTTCTTTGAAAAATAAGGAAAATCCAACCCAATTCGCTGAGTTGTATCACCAACTCGCTGAGTTTGTAACGTGTCCAGACTATCGGGAAAAACCCTAACCAACTCGTCGAGTTCCCTCAAGCCATTCTCTCATTCAAATATTTTTAAGCAAGACTAAGGTCCCAAACTCTAGATCTAGCCTTCTAAGGATGAAATACCATGTAAAGCTGCAAGCTTTACATCCATGCATGGCATCTAGGGCTAAGTTTGCCAAAACAACGCCAATATGTAATGTCCCATTTCAGGTATGTAATCTAAACATAGTATTTTTCCCTTTTCTTAAGTTGTACTCGACGAGCCAGAAGCTTGAGTCGTCGAGCAGAGATGGGTTTTGCACGCGGGTTTAGCCGGCGACTTGACGAGTCTATATTCTTGTACTCGGTGAGTCTGCCAGTCTGGATGAAACCCTAGTTTCAAGGGTTTGCACCCTTATTTAAACGACCTTATGATCCCTAAACGAGCCTCCATCAACTTCAGAACATCCCTTGTCAAACCTTAGCATTTCCTTTAGCATTTTTCAAGTACTTTTCACCTTGTGAAGGATTTTGGTGTATTTTGGGCGTTAGAAGAAGAAGAAAAAAAAGGAGGTATTCAAAGAGGGCAAATAGGATCTGAGTTTCTGGTCACATTTCAGTTCCCATTGAGGTATGCAACTCAAATCTTTACTTCCTAGCATTTAGATCTCCGTAAAAGCTTGCTATTGTTAATTTGAGTCATTTCTTGACCTTGATGTCGATTTG